GACAAAATGTTTTAAAAAGTTATCGATATAAGTACCAGCTGGGTGTTGGTTTGATGATACCTAAATAGGGAACACAAAAATGTATGAAGGAATTTTCAATTTTCATAGTGATAAGTGTGGTTTTACCTGTTGTGACTTCTGTTGTAGGTTGCACTGTGGATAGAATCGTAGTCTTTTGAGTAGTTTGTTGCGTTGATTTTTGAGTGGTGACAATGGTTGTTGGTTTGGTTGTTTTTACAGAGGTATGTTCGGTAGTTCTTTCCGTCGTGAAGTGAGTGGTTGGGCTTATAGTTGTTGGAATCGTTGTCTCTGTTGTTCTTTTCGTCGTGAAGTGTGTGGTTGGGCTTAGAGTTGTTGGAATCGCTGTCTTCTCTGTTGTTCTTTTCGTCGTGAAGTGTGTAGTTGGGACTTTAGTTGTTGGAAGTGTAGTTCTTTCCGTCGTAATGAGTGTTGTTGGAACTATAGTTGTCGGGACTGGTGTCTTCTCTGTTGTTAGTCGAGTGGTTTGCTCTGAGATTAGACGGGAAAGGTTGGTTTTATCGATACAGTAATTATTGTAAGAACATCTAAAATGTTGATAAAGTTTACCTCTATGTACGATTCTATAGTTGTAAATTTTATCTATACTTGCACCTGCCTTTGTAGTGTATTTATAAAAGTCATATAAAAGAATCTGCAACGTATAGCTATATTACTTTGGTCTGTTGTTGTTATTTCATATACTGAAGGCTTATACGAAATGGCTAAACCTTATTTTAGAACTTTCGATTTTAGTTTCCTAAAAGAAAGTATTACCTGTGGTGATTTCTGTTGTGGGAAGTATGGTGGTTTGTGCGGTTGTTTTGAGAGTGGTTTGATGCGTTGTTTCTTCAGTGGTTGCAGACGTTGTTGGTGATGTGGTTTGTTTAGTAGTTTGTTCCGTAGTTTCCTCTGTAGCACAAACGTGTAATTAGAATAGATACTGATTGAAGTGCCAAAAATATGCGTTGGTCTTGAAGTGTTTAATAATATTGATTAGAACGTAGATGTCTTTTTGGGGATCTCCAATGCTGAAATACCATGTACAATATTGATTTGAATTTGATGTGTACACTAAGAAGTATTTGTGTACAGTACGATATTCTGTTTTTGTCGAGGTTTCAAATAATGTGTGATTGTACCTGTTGACACCTCTGTGGTTGGAAGTACTGAAGTTAAGAAAGTGGTGCTATGAGTAGTTTCTTGTGTTGATTTTTGAGTGGTGACAAGAGTGGTTGGCTTTGTTGTCTTCTCTGTAGTCTGTGCTGTAGTAGTTCTTTGAGTGGTTAACTGCGTTGTGGGTTTTTTTGTGGTCGGGAGAGATGTCTGAACTGTTGTTGGATGAGTAGACATGGCTGTGACAAGAGTTTTAAAATTTATCGTATATGTGACAGTGTTATGTTCTACTAGCTGAATTTTGGTTTGTTAATATCTTAAGAGCGAACACAAATATTCAGCAAGAAACTAGTTCCTTCCTTTTGAAAGAGTGT